GATCACCTGGGAGAGGTTCTAGGCTTCTTCACTGGAAGGCACCCAACAGGTCCTTCCAATGTCAGTCCCTTCATTGACTCTAAACTAGAAGAACCACAGGCAAACAAAAGGGTCTCTTCTGTTGGCTACAAAGAAGGGGAGGGGGGAACGGACTCATCTTGTCACAGGTTTTGCCAGGTTTCCTGCAAAACTTGACCAGGAGAGGATAGTAGCTGCCCACTTCTTAGCCTAGAAACTCAAAAGGGGGAAATTTTGCACTGCTCAGTAAGGGTTTAGAGTTACAGAGCAAAGAGTTATAAAGCAAAACTCCATCCTGCATTGCCAAATATTTGTGCCCTTGGCCCAACAGTCTCCTGGAAATAGCAGACAATGGGCAAAGCAGGAAGGTCAAGGGCACCTCAGAGTTCACTTAGCACTACCACGTCAGCCACACTCCTGGCCCTCTCATGGCACACTTCTTGTCAAGCTGACAAAGACAAAATCTAGCAAAAAAGATGACCACAATGCTCTCCAACCATTCCTGGCTCCCACCAGCAAGAAGTGAGACTGAGAGAGATAAGATTCTTTTAGAGATGAAAAAACTAGGGCATACAGGTAGTGACATATCTGGGTCACAAAGCTGCTGTAGGATGAAAAGACTTTGGGTCAGGCTGACTTCTAGCCTTGATGCCCAAGCATATGTCCTGGTCTCTAGGGAATGCATTTAGTCCTTTTATCTATCTGTATTTCAGATGTAAATATTTCAACATACCACCACCATCTCTTTTAACCAATTAGTTCATTGTATGTCTAGCAGGTATTTAAGAATCTGACACAAAGGTTCCTGAGGCTGAAGGGACAAAAAATGATAGGGTCTACTGTTGGCTGCTTAGAAGTGGATTTCCGACATAAAGGAGTAGCAGGACAAGTTAACAGGAGAGTCTAGAGGCCCAAGTTCCCCAAACTATTTGTTCACTCTCCCCTTTATTTGCTATGCATTACTGACAGCTCTCTCAGGCCCATTAGCCTCTGGAGTTAGAGCAATGGCCTTACTTCAATGGGTTCACCATGTGTTTGTTCATTAATTACCTAAAGCCATGACTATCAGAACTGCGAGTAGTTACCTCAAGTTCAATGGCAGAGACATGCTTTAATTAGCATCTACAGTACCACCCCCACCCCCGAAGCCATTTTGTCACGTTTCTTTAGCTCTTCTGGTCAACTCTCCAGGCACAATTTTACTCAAGACATCATGGCTTTCTAAATCTAATCCAATGACAGCAATGACTAGAAAAATCACCATTACCTAACCATTTGTAACTCATGAAGGGAGGAAGGTAAGATGGACAAGGCAACCACCACAGGAAATCAGGTGAGAAATGCCAAGGGTCCAAAAGGATGGCAGTGGAAACAGAGAATCAAGAAATTCTTTAGATACCAGGCTTGGGATGTAAGAAAGCAGTCTGAGCTGAAAGCCCACATTCAGACACCTCAGTGAAAGCCTACACTAACCCCATATGCTATTGAAAACATTTCTTAACACATTGCCACACTTTTAAATTGACGACCACGTGTTAAACTACTAAGTAATACATACTAAAAAGAGCTGACCTGAGGCAACCCAATTTTTATCCTTAAACTGTGTATAATCACACATGGACATTACAGAAATACCATTTGATTAGTTCCTGAGGACACTACATGGTGTGAGATGACATTTTACATAAATTACCTGAAAGGAAAACATAGCTTTCCCATTCCATCTAGCAAATTTTCAGTATGTAAATTTTAGACAAGGTTATTAAATCATAGTTACACTCACCCAAGATCTTATTTTCCATTTACTCTCAATGCAAGGATGTTACCAATGTCATTTTTAGTTCTCTCCCTAGTGACAATTCCACTTAAGACATTGTCTAGACACAATCATGATCAGAAACATTTGTCACCATTACTGCCAGTGCAATTCTCCAGTGCAGTGCTCTCCTAATAAGTGCAGGCCTTTGACCTCTGCCCCATTTCCACTGCCCTTGACACCTTAACACACTTGGAAACCATCTTGTCATCAAACAGGCAACAGCTGGAGCCTCAAGGGCTCCCAACTTCTTTTAACTGTAATGAGGTGCTTCCTCCAATTGTCCTACTCCGATGCCAGGGCCCAAGGATTCCTGAATACACTGACTTTGAGGGGAGAGGCTGCGAGATTCCCTTATTACTATGCCAGGTTACTCTATTTCATGATCTTACTGTAAGATAAGGTGCAGCAGCAGCAAGTAAGTGCAGGTGCCATTTGTCCCCAGTGGGCTAGCACACAACAGCGGACGTGCAGGGGATGGAAAAAAACATCGATGCTGGTTACGTGAAACCAGACTGTACTCAAGACTTAAAGCCAGCAGTTTCTAAATGCCAAAAATATAGACAAATCATTGCACCTTTTAACGTATGCTAGGCTAAGTCACAACAGAGAAGTCGAAAAAATTTTCTCTGAAAAGGGACAAAATGTTTTTGGTTTTAAGGGCCTTCTGGTCCACAGTACAACTACTCAAACTCTCCTAACATGAAAGCACTATGGACACTGTAACCACAAATAATCATTGCTGCATTCTGAATAATAAATTGTGGATTCTAAGATTTGAGAAATGTATATTTATATGCTTTTTTTTTCTGTGTACCATCAAACTGGATCTGACTGGTACAGAAGGAGATTGCCTTTCCCTCTCCAGCAGAGCATCTGGTGGATTCAAACAGCTTACCTCTGGGATTGCAGCGCAGCTTCTTGCCACTAGGCCACCAGCGTGCCCTTAATTCTTTTAATCTCATAAAACTTCTTTTTAGCTCAAGGCCTATACAGCACAGAGCAGGAAAGGTGCCAGACATAACTTAAGAGTTATTTTAGTCTGCCAGTCTTGCATAGAAAGGGAAAGTGAACCAAAATGGACAAGAAGATAGGTGCAAGGAGATGCTCTAAGAGCCTCATGGAAAGAAAAGCCACAAAACTACTTGGTCAGAGGTAACCATATCCTGGCATCGTTACATGTAGTATTCTTAGGCTGCTGATGCAGAAACTATAAGGAAAAGGGGAATTCTATTTCCATTTTAATAGGCTTCTACCTGGCACATTCTGTCATCAACCCCTATGTTGACAGGGAAATTACAAACAGTACATAAAGACACTTAAATTGTGGTGTGTCTGCCATGAATGAGCTCTGGTGGTCTAGTAGATGGAGTTCTGCTATCAGCCCAAAGGCAGGCAGTTTGAATCCACCAGCTGCTCCACAGGAAAGATGTGTTACCTCCTCCTGTGCAATTTTCAGCCTCTAAAACTCAGCTCACTGGTCAGCTATGACTCAGCTCCAACTTGAAAATGAGCTCAAGGTTTTGCTTTTTTTACCACATGCTACACATCCATCAATTAGTGAAGAAAATAGAAGCACTAGTAATTACAGCACTGTCAACTTTTTAATCTAAAAGTCTATGTGGCAGAAACATGTAAAAAATGAGAAATGCAATGTAGGATGTATTGAAAATATTTTATAATCAATCCTCTAGAATACTAGCTATCTAGTACAGGAGAAAATTTATGTGGTGGAGGAACATTTCAGTAATCTTAAACAATGTAATATTTGACTAGAGGACTGCATCAGAATTTAACAGATAAAACGTTAGGTTTCTTCACATTTCCCATAGAACAGCTACAGCATTAACAACATTTCAAGAAATAAATGGCAGAATAATCTAAAATGCCAAGTTCTGTAGTCAAATAGCCAAATACATTAGGATATTTAGCAAAATGGTTTGTAAATGAAAAAGATAACAGCAAAGAGTCTCAAACTGGCTTTTTCTTCTTTCCCCTCAAATAGAGTCTTTAAGTCTCCAGGAAACAGAGTGGCCAGAACTTGGCCAAAGCAGTTTTCAGGTAATTATCAATTCCAGTATTTGTAGTTTCGTTGCCCAAAGACAAGAGAGCTCCGTGTCACCATCTTCTGCTGCCACTTTGTCTTTCTCTTCAAGTTTTCAAATTGCTTTAGAGTAAATAAGTGTGTGGAATATAATAAACTTAAGGAGTACTCTGTTATCCAATCGGAAATGTTACCCTCTTCCCCACTTCATTAGTCTATCTTGAACAATGAACATATTTATGAATTGTTCTTTTATTCTCCTGAGTCATTAAGCATATCAATTATAAAACATACAGGTAATACAAACTCCAGAGGTTTCTTATGTTTATGAAATAAACATATGAAAATCAAACTACATGATAACATGGGGGGGGGGGAGAGAAATCATGGTTTTATTTATTTTCCTTAGTGACAGGCTATGAGTGTGCGACGTAAAAGCGTAAAACTCACCACCAAGTTGTGCTAAGAATACTGCAACATTATGCGGGGGGGAAAAATCTGTGCAAATTAATCTTACTATCAGATGGTGGGAAAAATAATTTAGATACTTCTAACATATTTAAACAACTGAACGCACAGACAACTGTCTCCTCCTTAGGGTAAAACATTACCAATGAAGGAGAAGGAAAATGGAGAAAAAAAAATATTAAAAAATTCAAACAAAATCCAACACTGCTATTAAGCTTTTTCTTTTAATATGCCATGAGATATTTTGAGTGTTTATTTTTCAAACCACTTTTCCAGGTGTGTCTCCCAACCCTTTTTTAAGATACCAGTCTTTAGAATGCAATGATATAGTTTCATCCACCTTCTCTTGAGAGCAATATATAATACTAATGACTTTCATAGCTTCACATCCTTAATAAAAACATTTACAAATACAAGAAATGAAGTTTAGAGACATATGCATCAATTTTAAAAAAAAAGAAAAAAGGGTGGGTGGGGGAAGGAATCAGCATTGAGTGGGTTTAAGAAAGGCCGCAGTTTGAATTCACAGGCTGCCGATAAACACGTTTTCCGCTGAGGGCAGGGTAAGAGAGAGAGAATAAATGCGGCATTTCTCCATTGGCCCCAAAAGTGCTCATATCACAAAGGGATACATCAAAAGCAAACATGCAATGGTTGTTTTAAAACTTTTACTACAATGTAACAATGAAGTAAACAGTAATCAGACACCTATCAATTTCCCCCTAAAACAAACAAAGAAAAAATGTAAACAGAAAAATAACTCTGCCTATATATACTTGAACAGCTTCTCAAATTTAGAAGGGTCTCACAATCAATGATCAAGAGATTTTAAAATAGCAGTAATTATTTTCATTTTAAGAAAAGGTTCCCTTTCTCTCCCCCCCACCCCACCATCCTTGCAAATATTTAACATGAAAGAATGGGTTTCCTTACATAGTAATTTTATACTTATTTGAAGCAGCAACAATAACCATCAATAAATTTGGCTTTTCTGTTTATATGTTGCTCCAATTTTTTTTCAATTTCATAAAGCCATTATCCAGTGTTGCCATGAAATAGACTGTAGATTCTAGGTAGCAAAGATTCTTTTCAAAACCAAAGTTAAATCAAAGAAATACAAAGCAGGGCATTACACTAAATTTCTGGATCTAGTACACTAAGAGTGAAACCTAGGAAAAATTATCTACTGTTTTATAGAAGAAATAAAGACCTGCAAAAGCTGATTTTTGGTTGTATAATATTTTACACACTGTGGATTTGCGGCATCTGCTAATTTAAGCAGACATGCACTGTATTTATCCCTGTCCTATATCCTATATCCCTCCCTCCCCGCCCCCAACCATCTACTACCTTATACCAAGTATTGTGGATATGAGCCCAAAATCATCCCAGACAATCCAGTGAACAAAGTTAGTGTAATGCACTGGTGTGAAGTGTGAGATTTAAAAAAGTCCCTTTCAATCTTCATCAAAGTTTTGCTGTAGAAGAAAATTGGCAGCCAAATTCTCATTCTTCTCACAAGCAAAGTATGCCTGTATCACAAGTCCTTCAGGAAATCCTAATGCCTTTAACTGGAAAGGAGGGGGGTGGGGAAAAGAGAAAAACATAAATACAGTCCACAAATTATGGCACATATAGTTTTACTTACTACTCTGGATCTTACCATAGCAATACTGAAGGATCATACCTATTAACCTAAGGACACTTAAAAAAACCCTTGAGAATTGTACAGAAATTCATGCCTGTCCAACCTTAAGGGCTAGATGGAACTTAGGACCTTTTCTTTAATAATTACAAGTCTTTTTCTTAGTACAAGGCATTCTATAAACAAATTAACTTTGATTATTTAACACTCTAAAGCATTAACACTAAAATTCAGTTGCTAAATGTGGTTTAAAAGCAAATAAATTAATTTATCTATGACCAAAGGACTTTTTTTTACATGGGTGCCTATTCATTAGGAAGAGGCTAGTATACAGTATCTACTGTGACTAACAAAATAAATATACACATTCAAAAGAATAAAGCTGGAACCTTTATCTTACATCATATACAAAGTTAAATAAAAATGGTCCATAGAACTCAAAGTAAGAGCTTAAACTAGAAAATTCCTAGGAGAAAACATAGGAATAAAATTGTGACCTTCAATTTGTAAGTTTCTTTGACATGGCACTTTTTAAAGTACTACTAACAAAACTGAGAAATTAGATTTCAATGATATCCAGTACTTTTGTGCAAAGAATACAGTCAAAAAAGTGAAAGAGGGAATCCACAAAAAGTATTTCTCAGCCACATAAAAGTATTAATTTCTAGTATATATAAAGAACTACTATTCAACAAAACGACAAATAACTTTAAAATGAAAACTTGGATAGGCAGTTCTCTAAATATACAGAAATGGGCAATATGCACTTGTAATGATTCTTGCTATCATTAGTCATTTTAAAATTACAGGGGGGAAAATAAGAAAAGAAACAAAACAACAACGGCAAAAACCCAAAAACAGGGAGAAAAAAAATCAAAACCATACTTGACTACCACAGAGATGGCTTACAATCAGAAATAGAAAGTAACAAATATATATAGGTACAATGTTGAGAATAAGGTAAAATGACACAGCCACAGTGCAAAGCAGTTCAGTGGTTCTTACAAAGCTTAAATTTCCATGAGACCCAGTTCTCACTCCTAAGAATATACCAAAAATACTTAGCAGCAGATTAAAAAAAAATGGTAGCACACATCAATGTTTATTGTAGATTAAAAATAGACAAACTGGTAATATTCAGGTATTACCAGCAGATAAACGTGCAACCAAAATGTGGTAACTACAGTATTATTCAGTGAAAGGGAAATGAAGTTTTAATGGGTGAACATAAGTTAAAAATGTACATTACTGGGGGGGGGGTAGAGAAAATGTTCATTAAAATAACATTTAACAAAAATTTTAAGTACATTACTAACACTGATCTCAAAAATAATTTCACAAGACAGGGTATGAATATAAAACGTTGATTCCTTTTTTATAAATACTAACAAAGCTCAGAAAAAAATGTAATGATAAGCCACACCGTTAGAAAAACTAAGTGACTACAGTGTCTGCATTCTTTAACTTGAGGGGAACCAAAAGAGAATCAAGAATAGGGGCTGATGTTTAATGTTGCAAGGAGGGACTGGTCCTTGGAGAGGGACATCATGTTTGGGGGAGTGGAGGGACGGCACAGGAGGGGAAGACCCTCGATGAGGTGGATCAATTCTGTGAGTGGAGTGGTGGGAATGAGTGTGTTTGAGATGTTGAGGTTGGCACAGGACAGAACAGTGTTTAGGGGTATTGTACACAGGGTCGCTATGAGTTGCAGGCGACTCAATGGCACATAACAACAACAACATGAATTTTTAAAAATGTGTGTGTGTGTACCGTCAAATTGGATCTGACTGGTAAGGAGATTGTCCCTCCTTCTCCAGCAGAACATCTGGTGGATTCGAACCACGTACCTCTGGGATTACAGTGCAGCTTCTTGCCACTAGAGCTCCCTAATATATATATATTTTAAGATTGATTTTTTTCTTACCAAATTTTAAAACATAAAAGAAATGGTTAATTTCTTTTTCCTAGAGTATTAATACTATTTTATAACAGTTTGATACTTTACTGCCAAGCCATGGATTCACCAAGGTCAAGACTAGAAAGTGAAATGAGGAGAAACTATTTACTGGAACCTCCAGGCAATATTCAACTTCACTCTGTCCCACAGAGCTATATCAACTGATGAAAATGCCTTGTACTTGTGCTGGTTAACAAAGTAGGCTCAGGTCCCAGTAGACTACTAGGAAGTATCTGAGATGTAGCTAACAAGACTAAAAAACTGAATTGTTTGCTTTACGTATACTTACCCTTTCTATAGCTTCTTTTTCCTGAGGTGTTACTTGAATGTAGTTCATATGACCACTTCCAGCTTCTGCAATTCCACCGCTGCCGCCTCCACCCCCTCCTCCTTGACCACCAGCTTCTTGTACTGGTTCATTTAACATCTGAATAAAATGCTCCTGGTGTTGGCTAATTTGCTATAGTGATTTGAAGGAGAAAGGAACAAAAATGTATTGATAAAAGCATCTTCAGAAAAAAGTAAACATTCTAACCACAAAGCTAAGAGGGAAAATGTTTACTGTGCAACACAGAGTGATTCTGAATTATTGCATTTTTGGAATAATGTCATTTCCACATATCATAGAAACTCAGTACTTTTGTATAACGTAAACAGTGGTAGATTAAGAGAGTTCATAAATTCCTCATTGCCCACAGCATGAAAAGCAAAATAAAAAATCTATTTTGGCAATCACCACACACAGCCGATACCAAGTTGGTTGCACAACATAATTAACGTTAAGTGCTATCAGTGAAATGTACACTTGAAAAAAGCTGCATTGGCAAATGTCATGTAATACACAATTTAAAAAAAAGATCTGAGTGAAAAAATTACATTCAGACTATCAATACCGGGATATATACACACGAACTCATCCTTTACACACACACACGCACGCATGACAGTTTACATTACAATTCTGTGCAAATCTTGACTATTTCATGATCTGAGAAATAAAGCTTCCAGCTATGTTCAGACAGTACTCCACTCATGATAAACTTGAGAAAAGTAAAGTTAAAACTTGGGTTTCCATTTATTCACTGTTGCATACTAGAGCATTAATATTCTACTTGAATGTAGGAGCACAATTTTTAAAAGTTCTGATGGATTTTTTTTCACCTGATATATTCTAGCCCACTTTAAAATCAGCACTAATTTAAAAAAAAAAAATCACCTGTAGTAACTGAGGATTCTCTCGGCCTATCTGTTGTAGCAATGCTGGAAGCAGGGAGGGATTCTGCTGAATAATTTGTCTCATCTGTTGGAACTGAGGCTGATTCCGTAAAAATTCAAGCGGATGTCCTGAAAAGAAATGTAAAACAAAACACAGGTACTAATTACAAAAACAGATCATTCAGTCATACATTTAAGAAGCAAACAATGTCAGGGAGCTCTGGTGGCCTAGTGGCAAGGAAGCTGCATTACAATTCAAGAAGTTCACGGTTCAAATCCACCAGATGCTCTGCTGGAGAAGGAGGCACAATCCCCTCCTGTACCAGTCAGATCCGATTTGACAGTATAAGGTCTTTAGTTACCCTCCAAGACAGCAAATGACATTCCCCCCTCCAGGACACAACTTTTAGCCAAACAATAAACAAGCATGTTAGGTGATCAACAACAGCAGGGAGACAGGAAGCTTCAAGAACAATTATATAGGATCAAAAGGGCAGCATCTGCCCAGAGATAATGTTCTGGAGAGAGAGCAGAGAAACAAGAATGGAAACATAGACATGAGGAGCATGTTGTAACAAGGTCCTATCTCAAAATATGATGTGTATAAATTATTGACTGGAAAACCAACTTGATGTGCATGGTGTCAGTGACGACCTGATAGCAAACAGTTTAACTTAATGTCTAGACAGAACGATTCCTCACTCTACTATGGGCCATAGGCTTTGCTCTTTATGTCAGGCCTTTGAAATGGTACTGTGGACACTATCCAATAAGTAGACTAATCAAGTTTTTATTTCTACTCTGCATAAAAGATCTCACACTTTTTGAAGTATCATTTCACTGTCTCTATAATAACTACTACAATCCTTCTGATTTTGAAGTAATACATACTTTGTGGTATTTCTAAAGAAAGAAAGAAAAAAGGAGGCAAACCATTCTGAATGACTTTATGTAACAGTAAAAGCCAACTTGGGGAATAGCTCATCCTTAAAATAAACTATGTAAGATCTGTCCTTTACCAAAACAGTAGCAGTGATATTTAATAAGCAAAGGATACCTTTTTATATTAATCTGGCTTTTATACCCCTTTCAAACATTTACATAAGGGGAATTTATTAATATGCTTTAGAGCTATAAAGATGTCTGAGAAAGAAAACTCACCTTAGGAAAGATGATTAAGTTATTGTATACTACAACTTCAGGAACATTTCATCCCCTTGAAAAAAATCCTACTTTACCTCCAGAACTAGTTGTTGTAGTTGTGGCTGTTGTAGTTGCTGCAGCTGTAGCCACTGCTGAAGATGGAGGTGCTCCCGTACTAGCTGCTTGAGGGGGATCAACCACAGCTTGACTTTCTCTATCTCCAGGTATTCCCTGTAAGATTTTGAAGCTTTACAATGTCTCATCATTCAAAGTTTATTAAATATTATAGAGTCCAAAATTTATTAGTCTATTAGTCCCTGCTTAATTTCTAAAAGCATCAATCAGATGTCTGCTTCAATTAAAAGTAGTTACAAATAAAGTGGAAAGTATTCAAATTAAGTTATAAAGAGATTAGGACAAGAAGAACTCAGAATCGTACAATAACCGTTCAGTAGACCTTTCTATGATTAGCACTTGGTAAAATCCTAAACTTCTGTTAATAACATACAATAATTAAAAGGTAACTTAAAATTTAAAACACACCTTCTCCTCTATTACTGAGATGGCTGGCTTCCAAAGGTTTATAATTTCTTAAAAAAATTCATTGTTGTACATTTTTCTCCACATCTTCCCGAACTCCCAAAGCAAACCTTGTTCCAGATTGTTCTCATAATGCATAATCATACATTCTATTCAGAAAGTTCTTCCCCTCATCTGTTTTCTAATGCAGTATTCATTATCTATTCACTCTTTCCCCAGTCCCTTCTTTACTCACCCGTATCTATCCTATTTTATAACAATGTTATGCAATATTGGTCCTTTTGTGATTGAGACTTTCACTTAGCATAATGTCCCTAAGGCTCCCCCATGTTGTGTAATGTTTTACTATTTCATTATTTTTCAATGCTCCATAGTACTGTATGGATATACCATAGTTTTTCTATCCATTTGTTTGTTAATGGGCACTTGAGTTCTTTCTTATCTCTTTGCTATTGTGAATAATGCAGCAATAAACATGGGTGTACAAACATCTGTTTGAGTTCTGGCTGGTTTTTTAAGGATATATTCTCAGCAGTGGAACTGCTAGGTTAAATTTCTATTTCCAACTAAGAAAGCTTCAGACTGCCTTCCACACTGCCTTTCCATTTTACATTTCTAGTAGCAATGAATAAGAATTCCAATCTCTCTACACCTTCTCCAGCATTTGTTGTATGCTGGCCTGTTGACTTTGTTATTGTTGCTGGATTGTTTTGATGTGCATCTCTCTGAGAGCTAGAAATTTTAAACATTTCTTCATGTGTTTGTTTGCTACCTGAAGGTCATCTTTGATGAAGTGTCTATTCATATCCTGTACCCTTTTGTGACTAGATTCTTAACCTTTTTCTTGTTGAGGTGCCGGGGTATTCTAAGAATTTTAGATGTAAGTCCCTTATCTGAGATCAGGAAGTGGGACTCACCTACCTTGAATCTCTTTTTCAGTGCTTATTTGGGGTCTCTTTCCATTCCAGATAAAACTGGAAATTGCCTTTTCCATCTCAATGAAGAATGGAATTGATATCTGTATTAGGATTAGAATGAATTTGTAGACTACCTTTGGCAGAAATGTCCTTTTCACAATATTGAGTCTTCCTATCCATGAGCATGATGTATTTTTCCATTTCTCCAGAACTCTTTGTTTTGTCATTTTCTATATAAACGCCTTTTGTGTTTCTAGTTAGATTTATTCCTAAGTATTCAATCTTGTGGTTAGCTACTGGTAATTGGTATTGTGCCTCTTAGTTCCATTTCTATATTCTCTTTTACACTGTAGAAAAATTCAACTGATTTTTTTATGTTGATCTTATGCCCAGCAACTTTGTGGAATTGGTCAATTATGTCCAACAGTTTTCTTGCTACATCTTTAGGGTTTTCTGAGTGTATTATGGTATTATCAGGATATAAATATAGTTTTACACTCTCTTTGTCAGTGTGTATACTTCTTATTTCCTAGTCTTACTGCTCTTCCCAAATACAATATTGAATAGGAGAGCTGGTAACGCATATCCTTGCCTAATTAATGCTTTCAAGAGGAATGCCTTTAATTTCTCTGTTGAGAATGATGTTTGCTCTTGGTTCTGCTCATATACTTTTCACTATGTTGAAGAAATTTCCCTCTATTCCTTTTTTGTTGAGTGCTTTAATCAAGAAGTGTTGTTGGATTTTGCCAAAGGCCTTTTCCTCATTAACTGATAGGATCATGTGGTTCCTGTTCTTTTATTTTGTTAATGTGATGAATTTTATTAACCATTTTTCTTATGCTGAAGCATCCTTACATATCTGTTATGAATCCCACTAGATCACTATGAATCTTTTTTCTTCTTCTTTTTTTTTTTAATGTACAGATTCTACTGGCCAGAATTTTATTGATTTTTTTTTCCCATCTATGTTCCTGAGAGATACTGGCATATAGTTTTCTATTTTGGTGATGTCTTTACCTGACTTTGCTTTAGGGATGTTTGCTTCATAGAATGAATCTGGAGTATTCCTCCTTTTTGTATTTTTCTGAAATACTTACGACAGAATTGGTGACAGCTCTTCTCTGAAATGTTTGACAGAATTCACTAGTAAGTCTATCTGGTCCATTTTTTAGTTGGAAGTCATTTTATAATCCATTCAACAACTTCTTCTGTAATGGATTTGTTCAAGTGTTTTACTTCAGTTTGGGTGTGTTGTGAGTTCCTAAGTTATTTGTCCATTTCCTCTAGGTTTTCCTATTTGTCTGACAATAGTTTTTCTGTAATTTTCCATTTTACTTTTCTATTTTGTGTGTGTGTACTGTAAAATTGGATCAGACTGGCACAGGAGATTGCCCCTCCTTCTCCAGCAGATCTTCCAGGTATATGGTTTTTTCCTTTGTCCTCTTGTTGTTTTCTAGTGGTCTGAGAAAATGGTCTGTAGTATTACTATGTTTTTTTTTAATAGATTGCTTTATGACCTAAAATATGATCTATTCTGGAGAGTATTCCTGGAATGCTGGAGAAAAACGTAAGCTTGATCTTTTTTTTTTTTGGTTCATCAGTTTGTATATCTCCATAGGACTCATTAATTGAGTGGTTTAATTTGTCAGCATCTTTGTTGAGTTTCTTTCTGGTAGTCCTATCTTCCTTTACAGTGGCGGTACGGAAATGTCCTACTGTTAGTGCTATTACTTTTTTTAGTTCTGTCAATATTTGCTTTGTGTGTTATGCAGGTCTCCTTCTATTGACCCTTTACGCATTATATAGTGTTATTTCTTGTCCTTTTTGATACTTTTTACACTGAAACCTATTTTATCAAATTGATATGCGACTGCTTTTTTCTGGTTACCCTTTGTTTAGTGTATCCCCCGCCCCCTTTGATTTTTAGTCTATTTTCACTTTTTAAGTGTGTCTTATGTAGATAATATGTTGGTTTTTCTCATTCAATTTGCAACTCTTTTTTTCTCTTCACTGGTGCATTTAAACCATTCATATTCAGTGTAATTGTTTACTGGCATCAGTTTTTTTGAGTTCTTTTTGGTATTGTTGGATACTCTGATCTTTCCTCCTTTCTGTGATGTCTCAAAGACATCAACACTGGTCTTGTTTTTACAAACTCCCTTCGTTTCTGCTTTTCTGAGATTATCTTGATCTCTCTGTCATAACTAATGTACAGTTTTGCTGGGTACAATATTCTTGGTTGAAAAGTTGTGTTTGATATATGTCCTACTGGCACTTAATTTTATTTGCTCTCCTTTAAAAGTTACTTTTCACTTTCCCCTTGCTGCTTTCAGAATATTCTTTGTCTTTGATTCTGGTGAATCTGACTATGATAAACTTCGGTGTTTTTCTTATGGGTGTCTATTTTACAAGTACTCAGCTACTTGTATTATTATTCCTGGGAAGATTTTCTTCTAATAACTCTTTCAGAGTTTTTTCAAAAAAGTGCCACTTTAAAATTTCTTCTTGACAGTGTCCCACATAATTCTTAGGTTTTCTTCATTTTCCTTCCTTACTGTGCTTTTTGCTCTAGCAGATCAGTACTGAGACTTTGCTCTTCTATCTCACTGATTCTGTCTCTTCAGTTCTGCTCATTTTTCCTTCCAATACACTGACAGCTTTTAAGGTGTTGGTCTTAATATTCCGGCCTTCAGTCTCTTGTTTTTCTAGGTTTCTAATACCCCATTTGTTTTATCCGCATTGTCTTGAATTGGTTTTTTGTTTTTTAAAGTTCCTCTTGGCTTCTGACTGCAGAACCCTGCAATTCCAGTTTTTCTTTCACCCACTGAAAAAATTCAATCATTGTCCTTTTGAATTCTGTGTCAGAGTTCCAGCAAACTTCCTGGCTTCTGTGTTCTGATAATTTTTTTTGAGGGATGAAATCTTGTTTTGGTGTTGTGTAGACTGTGATATAGTCTGTTTCTTCCATGACATTACTGTGATAAGGCTTTTTCTTGTTCAGTGCCCTAACAGGTCCATTGTCTGTCTACCTTGGCTGGGGAGCTAGGTCACTGCTTCTGATGAGGGAAGCGAAGCTCATCATGGCCGAATTTCTTTCACGTCCCTGGGCTGACAGAAGGACTTGCTTCAGCCAGGGAGCTCAACACTCGTACGGAGGGGAGGCCAAAGAACCCTGACTGTGGTCTTTCCTTGCTGGTCCTCCGGAAAAGTTTCCTGGATGTGGGGATGAAGGGGATGGGTGGGCAACTGTTTCTGTTCCTTCCTCTCTGTCTCTGCAGTTAAGTTCTTCGGGAAGCAAGGCTATTTGTTTGCTGACTGGAGCACTCTCCCCTGTGGAGTGGCAGCCAGATTCCCTTCACCACTCTCTCATGGTTTGTAGGAAGGACCCTGTCTCTGTTCTTTTTTTCCACACTGTTATTTCTGTGGATGCTGGTTGCTGGGGCTTTCCAGTTAAGGCACATGTCTGGCAACACAGGATTGTTGGATGTCCTTGAGTAGTGAGGTCTTGTCTAGATTCTGAGCAATGGTGCTGTAGGTTCTGATCAACATGATGATGCCAGTTAATGACTATGAGACAGACAGCTAGCTCCTGAAATGTAGCCAAGTGCCAAAGTTTTACCGATTTTAGAGGGAGGAGAATGAAGAAAAACTGTCTGAACAGGAGATGGCATATTCTCTCATTTTATATTAGAAGTAAAGAACATAAAGAATGATGAGTAAGTCACTTGCAGTATATGTTACTTCACTGCTTCCAGGAGTGTCTACCAATTTTAGTTCAGGTAACACCATCTGTGAATTTGTCTTACAGGGAAGATTTGCATGTTGCTGTGATGATGGAAACTATTCCAGAAACATTTCAAATAAAAGCAGAGTTATGTCCAGTGCTTCTGGGACTAAGGTAAGACTATAAAAGGCCTACTAACCTATTTCCACAAATTAGGTAAAGAAAATGTTAAAATCTTTGAGATATTGATCCTGACTAATTAGAATGAAGAAAAGTAAAATGTTTCTTACCATTAAAAGATATTCCACTGCTCTGTCAGGGTTGTTGAAACTGGCTCTTAGGGCTGCAATTACTTGCTCTCGTTCATAGCCCATTGACATGATTTCAGTTACCATATTCTCATAGGACTGACCTGTCACTTTTTTTTTAAAAAGGGGAAAAAAAGAGTGGGGAGGAAAACAGGAAACATTTAATAATAATAATTTTTTAAAAAATCTCCATGTGTTTCTGTTTTTTAGATGTCTGAAATTTCTATAACCTTGCTCTGTAGATAGTGTAGAGCAAGGCCTCAAACCGTTTCAAAATTGATCTTGCAAAGTCCTGTAGGAATGCACAAGGCCACTCCAGACCTGAGCATGCTGGAGGCTTGCAAACCAACTATTTATTAGATACATATATGTGCACAATGATTCATTCAGGTGCTAGGAATAGAAATTTAATTACTAGTCTAAATTACCACATAGATACAGACAGACAGACACACACCACTGAAGTTACTACATGCAAAAGAGAAACTAAAGCTGTAGATAAAACTAAAGTTGCTAATTATCTGACTTTAAGGCAGGGGTATAATCTTGGATTATCTAAAAAGGACCAATTTAATATCAAATGTCCTTAAAAAATAGACAAAGCAGAAAGCATTCAAGAAATGAAAGGACAGTAACAGGATCAGAGATACTAGCGGTTAGAGACAGAGGAAGAGAGTCCAAGAAAGTGGGCAGTTTCTAGAAAATAAAAAAGGTAAAAAGAAACAAATAAAACCTATAAAATGGAGAAACAACCACCTCTTCAACAAATGGTGCTGGCAAAATTAGGCTGCCACCCACAGAAATCTAAAGCAAGATCCATACCTCTCACCATACCCCACCCCAATCAACTCAAGGTGAATCAGAGACCTACAGGTAAAGCCCAAAACCATTAAGATCCTAAGAGACAAAGTGGAACCAAACTTAAAAGGCCTAGCCCATGGCATAAAGAGGCTGACAGATACAATGAGAAATACACAACCAGGAGAGGATAAAAATTGATGAACGGGATCTTCTAAAGACTAGATCCCTATACACGTAAAAAAAAACTTTTTCCAGTAAGGTGAAAAGAAAGCCCAATGACTAGGGAAAAACATTTGGCAATATCATCTCAAACAAGAGTCTCATAACAAAAGCTTATAGAAGAATACTATAGGAAAAGACTAAATACTATAAGAAAAAGTCTGATAACCTAATTACAAAAAGAGGCAAAAGACATGGAAAGACTTTTCAAAGAGGAAGACATTCCAATGGCCAACAGACATCAAAATCACTAGCAATAAAAGAGATGCAAATCAAAACCACAGTAAGATACCATCTTATTCCAGCAGCAGTGGTAGGGACTCTCATACACTTCTGGTGGGATTGTAAAATGGTATAACTACTCTGGAAGGCAGTTTGGCGTTTCCTCAAAAAAGCTGAATATGACCCAGCTATTCCACTGCTAGGAATATACCCCAAGAAAATAAGAATTGAGACACAAACCGAGATTTGTATACCAATGTTCACAGCAGCAATAATCACCATCAAAAGAACATGGAAACAGTCCAAATATCCAGCCAGAAACGAATGGATTAAGAAATTATAGTACATTCACACAATGGAATACTATGCAGCATGCAGGAGCAATGATTTTTCTTTAAATTACTACATTAACTTGGGAGGAGCTGTAGTGCATTATGCTTAGTGAACTCAGTCTCGTAAGGACAGACTACATGAGACCATTATTGTAGAAACAGGAAGATGACTAATAAAATGTGTATGAGGATTCAAGGAGCGGAGGGTGAGAGCAGATGGGTGAGGACAGGCAGAGGGAAAATCATAAGAATAATACAATTTCGTGGGTGGAGGGAAGGAGAAGGTGTGAAAAAGAAATGGGAAAGATCCAGCGGGGATCTGGGAAGATAGGGTAATGGTGGGCACAGTTCAATGACGATTTATTTTATAAAACATGAATGGGAATTACCGTATGAAAAAAAAGTATATGAAGGACAGTGTGAAACACAATGTATAGGTATATGAAATTTGTAAGCAAACCAATTTCAAATAAAAATTAAAAAAGAACAAATTATTCCATATAAAGATCACTGCTCTTTAGATAATTTCAACTCATACAGGTCTGATTATAACCGCCCTATGTTGTTGTTGTTTAATGCCGTCGAGTCGTAGACGTCTCATAGCGACCCTATAGGGTTTCTAATATAAATCTTTACAGACGGCTACATCATTTTTCCATGGAGCAATTGGAGGATTCAAAGTGTCAACCTTTCAGTTAGCATCTGAGTGCTTCACTGCTGTACCATGAGGGCTACTCAGTGCCTCCATTAAAAAACATAACCCTGCTGACCCCTGGCAGACTTGTAACTCACAGAACAACAAAAAAGTTTTCATTGTCTTATATCATTAAATTTATGCTAATTTATTATAACAGCAATAGAAAACTAATACATAGTTAATAAACATCATAGATATATCAGGTATAAATACAGCAGAGGAAACAAACTATCAGGTTGACAGTGAAGACACCCTGAAGAAGAGAGATAAAATTGAATTTTGAACAAAGTAGGCAAGACATTTCAAGCAATCTCTACTAAACAAGTTAGTAGCTCTTCTTAACATGTTATGCTATACCTAAAGTGTGAAGGAAGAAAAAAAGGAGTTAGGGGACAGAAAGTCTCACACACCACAAAAAAGAGAGATAGAACACTTGAAGCAAGGTACCAGTAAGTTACTTCCCACAGGTTGTCTTCTACACCCCTCTCACCTGAAGATTACTCTTCAAACACTAGTTAACAGATGACACTCTGACTTAACTAGTTTCTCATCAAGTTGGTCTCTAACACAGCATGTACCAATGGAACAAAACATTATCTGCCCTACCCTGCACCAACCCCATGATCAGCTGGGATCCACGGAGCTTTCACTGGCTAACTTTCTTAAGTAAGTGACCAGGTTTTTCTTATGATGTCCTGCAATGAAAAGTCTGCCAGCATTCAGTATCACAGCAACACACAATTACCCCGGGCAGACAGAGAGCAGCTGAACTTGAGGTTCACTGGCTAGTAGTTAAACCGAGGTCTACCATGAACATAAAAAACCTACTATAAAACTGCCAATAAGCTTACACTAAGCAAAACTCAAAACTACCTTCTTTCTTGCACTTGTACTAAGTATGCTCACTCCTCCTCAAAGACAGAGACCCTTTAGTTATCCTCTTATCTTTTCCTCTTCCCTCTCCACACAATTATTCCAATCAGAAGTAAATGATGACCTCATCTGTCATTCTTAAAATAAAAAAAGAAAAAGAAAGCTAACAACTAAAATACATCTTCCTTGACCTATCCTAATTCCTATTTCATGGATGGTCCATTTGTTGGTTCTCTTCCAATCACAGAAAGAGCTGTTCACATATATTGTCTACTTATCCAACTTGAATTCAGAAAATCCCAGTAAGTGACTTTGGATCTCTAAGCATTTTCCCCACAAACATGTGCCTTCTTTTTGCTTAGTGGCATCTCTATCAACTCAACAGCAGGTTTTGGATCTATCCATCCAAGTAGAAACTTAATGGACCAAGCAAGTAATCTGGGTGATTCCGATTTCCTTTTCTCTCTTTCCAGAACTTACCTGTTAGCATATTTGATAGCTCTTACTTAGCACTAATATTGCAAATCCATGTAGTTCCCTGTTCCCAATACCATCACACAAAACCAGCCCAGAACTAGCTGTAATCTGTACTACATCTTGCTTCCAGTCCCACAATCAACAAGTTACAAAGTCAAATGGTAAGAAACTTCCCTGCGATCACAAAGATATGCAGTTCGAATCCACCAGCTGCTCTATGGAAGGAGGGTTGGCATTTCCTTATGTATGATTTACTCCCTCTGAAAATTGACTGGAGGGAAAGCTATGAGTGACACAACAAGAACACTTCATTCTGAACTGCAAATCCTCCAAAGTCTCTACCACCACCCATGAACCACACTGGTGGTCTTTTACTGGTTACTTTAAAAAAAATCATACATTTTTCAGCCACAAAGTTTATGTGCCAGACATCTTTGGAAGTCTAGCGCTCCTTCATATAGTCTCTCAGTTTAAATACTCTCAATCAATTTAATAATATCACAGAGACATTCCCTGTTATTGCTAGGTGCCATCAAGTCAAGTAAGACGCAGTGGCCTTATGAACAAAAGATCTGAACCCTTTTCTATCCTGTGCCATCCTGACACTTCCTGATACATGAGAGCCCACTGGAGCAGCCACTGTGACAATCCACCTGATTAAGGGTCTTCCTCTCCTTTGCCAACCCTCTACCTTTCTTAGCATCAAGTCCCTCTCTAAAGAGTAGCCCCTCCTAGCAACACGCCCAAAATATGTGAGGTGAAGCCTCATCCAAAAAAGCTGCACCCGCTTCAAGATATATCCGTTTGTTCTTTAGGCCTTCTATGCAAAATCCACGAAGGGTCATAATCTTCTGGAGCTACTGTTTCCAATCTCCAAGATTCTATCTATTTGCTTCTTTTTGTCTTGTGTCTAGTATGAGTACTTAAAGGCATTTTTTTCCCAGTCAATGAGACAATAATCAGCAGGGACAAAGGGAACTCTACCAAAAATATTATTAAGGAAAATCCTGATAGCTTAAGAGGTGAAGGGGAGATGGAAAGACATTATTCAAATAAGCATTTTGCTTCAAGCTGAACATAAGCCATCAGATGCAAATAGGCATGCAGAAGACTGGATGTTGGAATGAAAACTGGAGACAAAGATGATTGGCCAGGAAAATCTAGCAAAATGTTATACTCAAATCTTTTTAAGATTTCATTCAAAATTCACACTTGGCAAATAGAAAACTATTGTTTTAAAGGAAGAGAAGTATGATTAAGTCTAATATTGTTCAAAACGATGCATTCTATAAAATGTTAATTCACAAAGCCTTTGTTAGCATATTAATCAATTGTCACTGAACAGATTCTGACTCAGGTCAATCTCATCTGTAACCACTGCTCTATAAGGTTTTCTTGGTAGCAATCAGATCATGAGGCTCCTCTTCTACAGTACTTTCTGGGTGTGTCTGAACTGCTAACCTTTAGGTTAATAGTCAAGTGCAAACCACTTGCACCACGCATTTTTATAATCACAGAAAAGAACCTCTTATGTAATTCTTATAAAGATTAATTTACAAGGCAGAGTATGAGTATATACTTACCAAGAGCACTTGTTGCATCTTCAAAAAGGTTTGACCGAGAAGAATCTCCTGATGTACTGTAAAAGGTTTTTAGAAAAAGCACACTTCAAAAAGTATGGAAAATGTATGAAGACTCTGATTTTTTAAAAAATTATTTTAAACATATAACAAAATATCTGCCACTTCAAAATTTTTTACAAGCATCATGTACAATCATCACTACTATTTATTCCCATTTTTTCTATTCTCTTAAAAGAATCTTAATTTTAATAAAACTAAAAGCCTACAATTTTCAAATAATTTATCTTTAATTCCAAAAGCTTTACATGTATTTATGATTTAAGAATTTTCAATCTTAATGCTCATTCTAGTTTAAGGTCCATCAGTTTAACAGCCATATAAAGAAATTTTTAGAAAATAACTGAATTTAGATGAGAAATAATCTATAAATCAAGTCACAGCAGAAAAGCTACCAAAGTAGTTAGTACATGTTAAAATAGCACATGTAAAAATCAAAGAAGGCTAGAAAGGACTAAGAAGTCTTTATGTAGCAGAAATTTCAAATCAGTCTTACTACTTAGGTTTTCAACAAGAACACTGAAAGAGGAAGACATTAAAATCAACTTAGTATAAGCAAAAGTACAGAGGTGTAATAAAGCCAAGTCTAACCTAAAGCTGTTATGTATAAAAGGACACAATTTCTGTTAGAGAATTACAGAACATGAGGCTGACAAAAAAGGTAGATAGAAAAGATAATTAAAGAGCATACCTAAGAAAAACAACTTAATAAAAGTGCTAAAGGTAGTTGCTAGCAGCTTACGTTAACATATATATCTGCCATGATTTTAGAAAGCACTAAAGCAGACCAAGAAAAAAGGAATAAAACTCAACCGCAGTGAAAGGGACATAGTTGTTTAGTTAACTCAATCCTGAGTACTATTTCACCAAATAATCTTACTAATATAAGTTAGCCTAAACGTTTTATTCATTAGGGAGCTCTGATGGCCTACTGGTAAGGAGCTGCACTGCTATCCCAAAGACACACAGTTTGAATTCACCAGCTCTATGGGAGAAAAATGGGCAATCTCCTACTGAGTGACTAGTTCACTGCCTCTGTAAATTCACTGGAGGGTCAGCTGTGAGTCGGTTTTGACTCAACAACAATAAATGATAACATATTTTAGTATCTGGTAGAACAGGCCTCCTTATTACTTTTAAAGAACAATTTAATGTTTAAAAAATATGTTTTAACCACTGCAAATAAATATTACAATCTGCTTTTTTCACTAACAGAAGCCTTGAAACCACATTCATTTAATATGTATGAATGTTCCATGTATCTTAAATTGCCCGTAACACAGGATAACAAGGTACCTAAAACCTGGTTATTGTTAGGTGCCATCAAATCAACTAACACTCCGAGTGACACTATAAACAACAAATTAGACCCTGTTGCCTTTTGTGCCATCTGGGATATGCTCAAGTCTACTGTTACAGTCACCTTGACAATCCTTATTGAGGGCCTAACGAAATTTTTGATAAATACTAAAATGTAGATCTTTTGGAGCTCATGTGCAGACAATTCTTAAGTCGAACTTTAAGAATTCATTTCAATCTCTCCAGTGATGTTGCCTACTACCACTGTGTTCTAATCTGAATATATCACAGATCAGTCATTTCCTTACTGGTGAGTAGTTATGCTGATTTCAATTTGTTCTTAATTACAAAAAATACAGCTCTTATGCGCAAACACCACTTCTGATAAATTTTTATTCTTACAGAATGAACTGAACAAAAGGGAACAAATTCCTGATTATGAAATGTCAGAGGAGCAGCTCTCGACATACTTTCAACATCTGTCAGATATCAACATGTTGTTGTTGTTATGTGCCATCGAGTTGCTTGCGACTCATGGCGACCCTATGTACAACAGCCCTAAACTCTGCTCTGTCCTGTGCCAATCGCACTGTCTCTGACACTCCCAACCTGATTACCCCAGTCACTGAATCAATAAACCTCATAGAGGGCCTTCCCCTCCTGCACTGTCCCTCCACCCTCCCAAGCATGATGTCCTTCTCCAAGGACAGGTCTCTCCTTAACAACATGTCCAAAGTCAGTCAAAGCCTCAGAATCCTTACCTCCAAGGAGCAGCCTGGTTTAACCCTTTCCAGGATGAATCTGTTTGTTTTCCTAGCAGTCCATGGTACTCTCAATACTCTTCTCCAGCACCACAGCTCAAAGGCATCAATTCTCCTTGGTCATTGTCCAACTCTCTAATGCATAACAAGTGACTGCAAAGACCATGGCCTGTATCAGATGCACCTTAAGTCTCCAGAGAGACACCAATGCTCTTTAGTACTTTGGAGAGGTCCCTAACAGCAGACTTTCCCATGGCAATGCGCCTTTTAATTTTCTGGCTGCTGGTGCCAAGAGTGTTGACTGTGGAGCCAAGCAAACTATAGCTGTGAATAATCTCAATCTCGTCACCATCCATCCTGATGCTGCTAATTGGTCCAGTGGTGAGACTTTGACTTCTTGACATTGAGCCTCAATCCGTATTGGAGGCTGCAGTCCTTGACCCTCTGCAGCAAGCGCTTCAGGTCCTCCTCAGTTTTAGCAAGCAGGGTTGTGTCGTCTGCATAACGCAAATTGTTGACAGATCTTCCACCCACATTTCTCCTCACAGAGCCCAGTCTCCGGATAATCTGTTCTGCATACAGGTTGAAAAGGTCTGGAGATAGGACACATCCCTGGCGCACCGCCCTTCCCAATTTTAAACCAAGCAGTGTTCCCTTGCTCTGTTCTGACGAATGCCTCCTGGTCCAGGTACAGGTTTCGCATTAGCATGATCAAGTGTTCTGGGATTCCCATTCTTCTCAGAGTCAGCCACAGTTTGTTATGATCCACACAGTCAAATGCCTTTGCACAGTCAATGAAACACAGATATACATTCCTCTGGTATTCCCTGCTTTCAGCTAAGATCCATCTAATATGAGCTACAATATCCCTAGTACCACAACCCCTTCTGAATCCAGCAAATACTTTAAGAGACATAAATGCAGGTTTTAAACATGGATTTCACCTGATGGTATGCATAGGAATCAAATCGATTACATCTGCGGAAAGAACTGCTGGAGCAGCTCAATATCAGCTGTGAAAACCAGGCCAGAAGCTGATTGTGGAACAGATCACCAACTAACTAGTCATATGCAAGTTCAAGCTGAAGTTGGGGAAAATTAAACCAAATCCACAGAAACCAAAATATGCCTTTCAGTCTATCCCACCTGAATTTCAGAACCATCTCAGGAACAGGTTTGAGGCCCTGAACACTAAAGGGCGAAGACCAGAAGAGTTGGAGGATATCAAGGGTATCATCCAGAAGAGTGCAAATGGTCATTGCAAAGACAGAAGAGGAAGAGAAGACCAAAATGGATGTCAAAAGAGACTCTGAAAATTGCACTGGAGTGCAGAGAAGCCAAAGCACAAGAAGAATTCAAGATACTAAAGAGTTGAATAGAAGATTTCAAAAGGCAGCATGGGATGACAAAGCAAAATATTACAATGAAATGTGCAAGGAGTTGGAGTCAGAAAATCAAAAGGGCCGAACTCGCTCAGGATTTCTTAAGCTCAAGGAACTGAAGAACAGATTCAAACCTCAAGTTGCTATAATCAAGGAGGCTTTCGGCAGAATATTAAATGATCCAGGAAGTATTAAAAGAAGATGGAAATATACTGAGTTATTGTCACAAAAGGAATTGGCAGACACAGAAGAACTGCATGAAACAACATATGAGCAAGAGTCTATGCTTATTAAAGAAGTAGTTCTGGGGACTTTGAAGGAAATAGCAAAAAATAAGGCCCCAGGATTAGATGGAATACAAATTGACATATGTCAGCTAACAGATGCTGCCCTGAACGTGCTCACCAAGTTGTGCCAAGAATTCTGGAGAACAACCACTTGGCCAACTGACTGGAAGAGATCTATATTTGTTCCCATCCCAAAGAAAGGTGGCCCAAGATTCTACTGAAGATTATACAAAAACGACTGGAAAAGCAGATACCAACATATCTCCTGATAATTATATCTTACTAAGTAAAGCTTGTACTTTTTACAGGATACTAATGTTTTAAAGCACAGATGTAGTAAAACCAATTTAAACAACTAGTTTTCTGAGCTTTTATAGTCCTTCTCTTCCCATGTTACTTGAATACACAATTTTTGGGAAAATAAAAGTAATTAGTGTAAAACTACAGCCAGCTAAATAAGGGACTCTAGTCCCTGTTCTGGAACAAGGACTCATTTCTGCAACTTCTCAGTTAAGTCTGAAAAGGTAATCATGACTCTTTATAAGAGCTGAGTAAAAAGAGTTTCTTTCAGGAAGAAACAAAGAGGAAATAAAGTGACCAAGAAAGATCAGTAATCTTTTTTCTTATTTAAATTTACTATTAATTTCAGTAAAAATTTACAGAGGCTTTGGATTTCCATTAATTCATTGTTGCACTGATCAGTAATCTTTTAAAATAAATCTGTCAATCAACAAAATTTCTGATTTGAAACATAAAAATATTTACAAAATTAAGATAAACTGTATTGCTTCAGAACAGTTTTACGATTACAATGCTCAATGTTTTGGACAACCAACAAGTTTTTAAAGTTATCTTCCTGAACAAAGAATTTATTAACAGTCCTTTGATGTAATTAATAGCTCAATTTGATTCTGAGTTGTCGTCTATTAAATTCAGAGAGTTGAATGTGTTCTGACTGTACATGAGGGAGATGGTTCTGTTACGTAAAGGTGAACTGCCTAAAACAAAGTATACATGAAGATACTTAGAAAATCCATTCCTTGGGAAGTGGTTCTGAGTGAACAGTAAATCAGGCGACTCAGAGACCACTAAAACCAGACACCTAAAGGTCAAAGAACTAAAACAAAGAATTGTAACTACTGCTCCATCAATAAACGCCAGTCGGGAAAGAATGATCCTGCAGGCTTTCTAAGAGGCTTTTGCTTTTCATTCTGAGCTCTTTTTAACTAAAAGAACCCTGACCAGAGACAAAATTTTATTCACCAATGGTAAAATAACAATTCTTTCTTGTATCGTGCATATTAATTCTAACCTTCCCACTTCCTACAAAAAATTATTTCTTACTCCCCAAATATGCCAGCACTTTATATTCTAGGCACGTACTACTCAACAGAAAGAAAATATGGAAGATAAGTGTAACCTGATTCTCATTCAGTGTGAGAAAAATATTAAATTGGCAGTTTTCACTGGCCACAAAATTTTAAGTTAATAAAAATTTTATGAAAAGTGAAAGCAAGCATTCTTTCTCATTGCTGCTGAGTTGGTTCCAACTCATAATTGACCCTCCAGCAGGTTTCCAAGGCTGTGATCTAGCAGTAAAAGGGTCCACGGCCAACCCAAAGGTTGAATCTACGAACTGTTCTATGGGACAAAAAACAGGAAGTCTCCTCCTGTGAGATGTACAGTCTCTGAAATCCCACTTGAGAGTCACCTATGAGTCAGTTCCTACTCATAGGCACCTAACTGTTACATAAGAGTCTGCTCATTTTTGTCCTGTGGGGTAGCTAGTGGATTCAAACCACCAAAGAGCAGCCTTTGGATGAGCAGCACAACATTTTATGGACTATACCACCAGAGTTTCCAAATAAAGTAAATGTAAAAGCAATTCTATCCATTCTTCTCCAACCATACTGGCATATGGCACCAGTGCCTCCAAGTGATTATGTGGTTCCCAGTCTCCCTTGTTTTAAACGTCCTACATAAGTTCACGTCTCTGCAAAGTTTAAGACAAAGCTATAGATACCTCTAACAGTGAGAAATTAAAACAACTGTGTCCAGAACCAAAGGTATTTTGTGAAATATTAAAATAGCTAATATTCATTATCTTCTGCTTACCACATTTTACATCTTTGACAATTATTACTTCACTTAATCCTTATAACAACTCTAAGAGATCTTTTTATTATTTACATTTTACACAGGAGAGGGGGGAAACTTGGCTGACTACAGGGCTAACAAATGTCAGAACCAAATGTGTCAATTAGAGACATATAATGATAAGGGAAGAGGTTCATGCTATACATGATAATGATCAGAAAGAATACAGATTAAATATTCATTACACCTGGGGTAAAATATCAAGTTATTTTAGAATTCTTATTCTTTTTGATCATTTACATTTCTTAACTCTTCTACATAAAGTTAAGAAAAAGGACTCTGAAACTACCTTCTAAAAATCAAATAAGTAGCATGTTGTTGTAGTAGTAGTTATGTGCCGTCGAGTCAGAACCGACTCATAGCTGACCCTCCAGCGGGTTTTCAGAGGCTGTAAATCACACGAGAGGAGACTGTTCATCTTTCTCCCGCGGAGCAGCTGGTGGATTCAAACCATGTGCCTTTGGGTTGACAGCGCAACTCTCCTTACCACTAGGCCACCACAGCTCCCTATAAGTAGCATAGAAATCTGAATTATAGAAATTTGTACCTATAGTTATAAACATAATTTTAAAAAGCTTAACATAGTAGGTAGTCAGTTTGATCAAGATATATATAAATGAAATACCAAGGTACTGCGAAGCAGAACTGAATATCAGGTCTTTCTTACCTGTCACTTGATGATGGACTAGTGGCCACTGGTGTTTCTGTCGGCTTCTCTGCAGGTTTCTCTTGCTTAGCTGCACCCGTAGGTGCAGAGTCAGAAGATGATGTTGTTGATGCCGGAATGACAGATGGAGTAGGTGTGGGAGTGGGAGCCAAAGCAGGGGTAGGGGCTGGGGATTGGGCCACAGCTGCTGTAGAGGAACTAACTGTAGTAGTGGTGGCAGAATTTGACTGCTGAGTTGTAGCTGGTGCTGGTGTTGTCACTGCTTTGGGCTAAGCACATTAAAAACCAAATAATGAATTATGATATAGTACTAAATTATTCTATATCCGATTAGACTATACTGCTGCAAGGGGCTATAAATAAAATACTAACACAAAGTTAAAAGTAATTTCATGAAGTAATAAAATCAATGTAATTTCAGCAATATGGTTCACTTCATGGAATGCTTTCAAAGCTGTTAAGAATATGCATCACAGAACAATTTGTATGAATCAGTGACTGAAAAAAACTAACTTGATGAATCAACTCCCACCTATAGCATAATAAAATGTTTAGCAAAAATTACTATGATACGAAAATAAATAAAGAAGGCCTGCTAATTTAAGGGATGACATATTGGGCTGTTAATCAAAAAAGCCAATTCAAGAGAGACAGATGAGGCAGTCTGCTCCCATTCAGATTTACCGCCCTGGTAATCTGAAGGAGGGTCACCATGAGTCAGAATCAACTACAGTGGATTTTGGTTTATAAAGAAATGAGATTAAAAATGAAACATAGCCAAAATACGTGGAAAAGGATTTCCTCTCTTGGCTTTACTGCTCATCAATCTTTAGTGAGTAGATGTTTACACACACACACACACACACACGATTCGTAACTGATTAAAAAATTGTCTGACAGATATAGTAAACATTTTGTGTTTTGAGTACTGATGTGTGCGTAATGCACTGATTGTTTTATTTAACTCTCATTTCTATGGCTTACATAAGTTATTTGACTTTTGGGGAGGGGACTCCACCAAAAAACAACCTGACAAATACTCTTAACTTTTGGCCTTTGATGGACTGGTTTAAGTTATTCAATGTTACAAGTAGTATTACTATTCTCATGTTATAATAATTCAGTTCTAAAGATGAGTATCATGAGCACCACCACTTCTTTGTCTTAACTCTCCATCACATGTGTGTGGTGGCTGTTAGCTATCATAGTCAGTGTGCATGATTATGTATCTTTAAATAAGTAAGTATAAAGTATGACTCATTCTGTTTTAGAGGAAAATTTTCACTAGTATGCACTGTCCTAAATATTCTTGATTCAATAAATAACCAAGTTCCTCATATTAAACAATTCTTAACAATAATCATTCTGCCTTTTTCCTAGCTACTTTTTTGCCCTTCTTTTTTTTGGGGGGGGGCAGGGCGAAGGTACGGAGTCTTAACCAACCTACAGCTGACCCTCCAGGGGTTTTTCAGAGGCAATTAATCATAAAGGAGGAGAATGTCCATCTGTCTGCCAGGGAGCAGTTGGTGGCTTTGATCTATGTGCCTTTCAATGGCAATGCAGCTCCTTACCAGAGCTCTATTAGCCAAAAGACATGTAATAGAAATTCTAAGATTTTATGTCTTTTTCGCACTGAGGAGCCTATTAGATCTAGCACATTTAATTTGCCATGATCCTTTAAGGAAGCTTTCCTGAAAACCAGGAGCCCCAGTTGAAATCATAGTTCATCTTCCAGCGGGTTTTCAGAGGGGGTGAATTGCATGGGAACAGACTGCCCATCCCACTCTCAAGGGCAGCTGGTGGATTTGAACCACATGCCTTTGGGATTGCAACACAGTTTCTTACCCCTAGGCCACCAGAATTTAAGTACTGGGCTATTAATTATAGTGCTTTGGTTATCTAATGGTAAAACGTTGCACTGCAATCCCAAGGGCACACAGTCTGAATCCACCAGCTGCTCTGTGTGAGAAGGATGGGCAATCTCCTCTGATGTTATTAACTGCCTCCGAAAACATGCTGGTGGGTTAACTGTGAGTTGGTTCAGAGTCAATGGCACATAACAACAATTGAAAAGTTAAGTTCAATCCCCCCAGGTATTCTGAAGGAGAAAAGTCGAGGCAGTCCACTTTTGATAAAGATTTGGAGAATGTAAAAACTGTGCTCATTTTGAGGTGTCAATATTGTACTTGCGATTTTAAAAATATACATACATGCATACATACATGAAGTACACAATAAGGAATGAAACTTACTTTTGTGACCATAACCACCACAAAATTTTTCTCATCTATTTTATATTCTTTGAGAGCAGTGTCATCATTGAGGATTTTGCCTAGTAAATTAGGAGAAAGGTGTTATTTAGTGCACAATAATTTTATATTTAAATGTTAAAACAACTCAGCTGTAGTCTAATCAATTTTTTCTACAAAGAGAAATCAGAACGAAGTGTCATTTATGTTATGTTAAACAAAAGCAAAAGGAAATATTGTTAATTAAGAAGACAAAAGCAGTAGTTTGGTAGGAATGGAGGAGGAGGAAAAGATATAAGGACTGATAAAAAGATGTCAAAACATACATACTGCATATAGTTATGGGAGGCTTTTAATAAAATTGAGACAACAGGCAAGGAATCAGGAATGCTAATTTTATGTCTCCTTTTAACAATCTGCCTCCTTAAACTTTTGATTCTCGACCTATTAAAATGCTAGGATTCAATTATGGTTCCAGTCTTTCTTCTAAGTTGGTTCAGTCTTCTATATTCCTTAAGAAAATACGACAATGTCTCTATTCAAAAAAGGTAATTCAAGGCTCAAATCAGTGACAACTCCAGTTAAGATACGTCTAGTATGTTTCCTGAAGAATAAAGTAGTTTTCATACACACAATTTACATATGATCAAGTCTGTTTCTAACATATCATTTCTGCTAACTGATAAAGTTAAATGTAATTACATTTTCCCATCAATGACTTTTCTTAGTTTCCAACAAGAACATCTTTTTCTTATTTAGAAAAGCTTTTTAATAATGTGACTATTATTTTTTTTTATTATTTAGATAGGAAAACTGGTAGCACAGTGGTTTAAACATTCAACTTAACAAAAAAGAAAAGATTTCTGCTTCTGTAAATGTTTATAGCCTCAGAAGCACAATGAAGCAGTTCTTGTTCTAGAGGGTCACTGAAGTGAACACTACCCCTATGGGTCTCCATCATTTACCCAAAATGCCTTTTGATATAGAAGATACTCCCTATTCTTCAGCCAATTTTAAAACATACTCAGATTAAATTTTAAAGAAAAAACCAAAAAACCCAAATCCAGTCATGTGATGGCTGTAAAACCAAACAAAAGCAAGATTGCAGAAAAGAAAAAAATCTACAAGATAAATACAATGAAAAAGAGAGCTGATAATTAATCATATCAAATGAATGCTCTTTCACGTACTCTTACAATCTGTATACACTAGAAATCTGAAGAGTAATCACTTTTAAAAAGCTGGAAACTCTACGGGAGCTCTGGTGGCTTAGCAGTAAGGAGTTCCACTGACAGTTCGAAATCTGTCTCCACAGGTGAAGATGGGCAATCTTCTGTGCAATTTACTCTCATTGAAAACCTTCTACAGGGTCAGTTATAAACTGTTTCTGACTCACTGGTACACAGTATGTCATGTCAAGCAGGAAAATATCATATTAAGTTCAATATTAAATTCATACCTGCATAAATTAACTTTTGGCCTGCTACTGGGAAGGCATCTTTCCCTTTTTCAGATTCAATCTTCTCCTTCAGTGCTTTCACCTGTAAGAATAAATGTCATTGGAAACAAAACAGGGGAAATCTAGAATGTGAAAAAGAAAATCTTTATTAATGGTTTCCCAAACTAAAATTTAATATCTCCTGCTCTGCAGGAGAAATATGGCTAATAGCCTCTTGTTCAATTTATTGCCTCAGAAAACTTGCTGGAGAGTTAGTTTAAGTCAGTTAGCTCCAAAGGACTAGACAGACAGACAAACTTTAACCTCAAGGACCCTGAGACCAGAAGAAAGAGATGATGCCCAACAGAATGTGCTGGAGAGAGTGGGCAAAAAGTTAAGAGCAAAACATGAAAATGGCCAAGCTTACTTAACATGTTGCCATAAATGACAGTAATACATAGTAAAAAACAAACAAACAAAATGTGTTTCTAAGCACAATCGTCAATTTAAAAGTGTGCAGCAACGTGTTAATAGTGTCAAACAGACTGATGGAACCTAGATACTGTGACTCCTCAAACCTGGAATAAAATTAACCAGTGTGGCTCAACTTTCAAACAGACAGATCTCCAGAATGTTCTCCCTGACGGTGAAGTGGATAAGGAGTTATGATGCCAACCCAAAAGCAAGATGTTCAAACCCACCAGCTGCACCACCAGAACCCACCAGCTACATGATTTACAGCCCCTGAAAAACCCACTAGATTGTCAGCCAAGTCTGTTCTGACAAGATGGTAATGAATTAGTTATGAAGTGAAAACAATACCAAGGAGACACTGACTCCCTAGCATAGTCAACCACATAAGAGCCAAAGGACATTTCTGCCCAGGGATAGAGCTCAGAAGCCAGTAAGGGATAGAAGTATTAACGTAATTGAGATTCAAAGAAGTGCGATAATACTGTGGTACTGTATTTGACTGTTTATGAATGAAAAGAAATTAATGCCCTTTGTAAAGTTTCACTCAAACTACAATTAAAACCACCCCACCACCAATGTAGCACGGATTCTCTCTGCTTCAGTCTCTATAAAAGATGAACTGAAGCATATGATCTTTAAGGATTCTTTAATTTCTAGTGTTATAAGAGGCTCATTACAAATTATTTAGAAACTGAAAAACTAAACAGATTTTTTATCAGAAAGTAGGTTGACATAAGAAGATAATAAGGCAAGGAGACTTGATTTTCATGTGGTTGGTTCAGAACCAGTTTCATTACAAAAGAGCTGTGGAGTTTGTCTCTCAATATGGCTTTCCTAGTGTAGATGACTGACTATATGGATGCACGAGACTGTTCTTCTGGCAGTCTATGGAATATTTAGTATTATTCTCCAACACCACAATGCAAAGGCATTGATTCTGTTAGAAACAATTATTGAAGTTAACAAGTATGACAACATTAAAACACAGATTAAGAACACCGAATGATAATATAACTTGAAGCCACGTCAATATTTTCAAAGTGGCTGGGAGAGTCTGACCTATCAAGACCAAGCTGGAATGTGTCCAAGAAATGTCAATTAGTGATCTTAACTTGCAATTCTCTTCAATTATCGCAATCATTGTCACAAGCCGGAGCTTGCCATCCAAAACATTAATCTTTTCATTCTTAATAATCTATTACTGAAGAAGTCCATAATATATTCCTTTTTGAGCTCTATCAGCCTTGCCACATAAGATGAGGCAGCCACCTCTTACAGATTTACAACTTGGGAGACCTGACAGTCACTATGAGTCAAAACAGACTTGACAGCATCAAGTTTGGTTGATTTTCAATCCACTATTATCTCTCTTAGGGAGCTCTGGTGGCCTAGTGCTGCATCCCAAAGGAATACAGTTCAAATCCACCAGTGGCCTTGTAGGACAAGGGAGGACATCTTCCATGCAATTAAACTGCCTCTGAAACCCTGCTAGAGGGTTAGCGGAGTTGGTGCCTACTTGACAGTACACAATCACTACCTCTTTGTAATTATTCCCCACATCTGGGTCTTGAACCAGGAGATCTAGTGGAACAGTGATTACGAACTCAGTTTAGCCACTGCTCAACTGTCAACCAAGAAGCTGTCTGTCAGGTCAAGCTCATTCTCTACTTTGAAGGAAAAAAAGATGTGCCAATTTGGTTCCAGAGGTATACAACCTTGGATACCCTATGAGACAATTCTATTCTCTCCCAGAGAATCTCTAAGTCTGAATTCACTTACCAGTAATGCATTTTGATGAGTGAAGTCTCTTGAATCTCTACTTTGACTTCACTAGCTCTAGTCATCTTGGCCAATATTGCCTTATTTCTATCATTTTCTTATTAGTACAGATGCCGCCCTTGTTAACACAAAAGTATCTAGATTAACACAACTAAAAGTATTTCCATCAGTACTCAGCACAACAGTCTTTCTGATCCCCTGATTAGCCCAGACTATTTCTTCACTCTCCAGGGGAATTCAAAACTTCAACACACCTCCAAATCTCATTCCCAGAACCATTCTTTCTGCAGATGATGATATTCCCAAAGTCATTAAAAATAGACAGTATTATTAGAGAAACTCATCTTTAACTTTATACCACTAACCAAACTTTTGTATCAAATCCCTTTAATCTCTTAACTACTAAAAAGTCATCCCTTTAATTTCTTAAGCTCTGGTGGGAAAATATGGAAATTGTGAGCTGCTAACCAAAAGGTCAGTAAAGTCCATCAAGCCACTTTGTGGGAGAAAGATGGAAAGTCTCCTTCTGTAAAGATTTATAGGCTGGAAAACTGATGGAGGGTGGCTATGAGTCCGAAGCAAATGGATGAAATATCATTAATCATCAGACACTTATTTGTCCTTCCCCAAATTTCCCAATTTCATATTTACACTGGTAACCTAATCTTCTCTTTCACCCTGCCTCTGGTGAGCTTTCTCTCCTATTTCTGAAAATTATCTTGTTTGACTAGCCCTTAGGGCTATGACCAAGAATGCCTGGTGGGACTATAGGGTAAAACATTCTGCTGCTAACCAAAAGGTGGGTGGTTCCAACTTACCAGCTGCTCTTTAGGAGTAAGAATCTTTTCAGGAGCAGCCTACTTCCATAAAGGTTCCCTACGGCCTCGCAAACCCTACTGGCCGTGTTTTGGGCATTGGGTTTTATGTCCAAGGCTGCCTTTTTCTCTACAAAGATTTCTCCCATGGCTTTAAGTTATGAATTCCACTTTCACCTTGATGTAAGCACGCCACTGCTGCCCAATGGCTTTTGTTAATTTCTCTAAATATTCCTTAACCAAAACAAATTGAGCATGCTCAAACAAAGTAAGAAAGAAAAAATGTCTTTCTGGATGCTGTGAAGAAGGCAGGCTTGCCACCTTTGGATAATTTCTCTTGGGAAGATAATGGCTAGAAATGGATGCAATTATGACTCATCTACTGGTCTGGAACCCATGTCAGTGATCTCATTATAATAAGTTATTTCAGCAACACAGATAGAAATTGAGTGTAGGCAGTCCCTGGATTCTGAACCATTTCCATTCCAAAGTCGGTTTTTAAATTGAATTTGTACATTAAGTCAGAATAGTTGCATCAAGTCAGAACAGTTGTATCTAACACAAATCAGTCAAATGTCTTAGTACAAAATATGCAGTATGCCTATGTAAGCATTAAAAAAAAATGAAACTTCCATAGAGTAAAACATCTTTACCATTATTATTGTTAAAGTGTCAAGAGTCGACTACTATGCATTGTGGTTGTTATGTGTTCTCAAGTTGCCTGTAACTCATAGCAACCCTATGTACAACAGCTTTGAACCCTGCCCTGTCTTGAGCCAGTCTCACTGTTTCCAACACACCTACCCTCATTGCTCTAGTTACTCTATTAATCCATCTCGTCTGGGGTCTTCCTCTCCTGCCCTGTCCCTCTGAGCACGCTATGATGTCTTTCTCCAAGGACCAGTCCCTCCTAGCCATGTGCCCAAAGTATGTGAGATGGAGCTTCAAAATCCTAGCCTCCAAGACAAATCTATTTGTTTTCTTGGTGCGCAATGGTTCTAGCACCACAACGCAAAGGCATCAGTTCTCCTGTCATCCTTATCTACTGTCCAGCTCTCTGAAGCACAGCAAGCCTATGAACAATAGGCCTAAACTAAGTCCTCTACTGCACCATTTTTTAATTTTTTATTATTAATTTTAATGAAAATTCACAGAGACTTTGGTTTCCATTCATTCATTGTTACACTTTTCTCCCTGCCCACCCCACTCCGAGTACACGCTTCTCTTTGAAAATCCTGCACCATTCTTAATGTCTTTTATGCTCAAGCCCATTGTTACAGTCACTTTGTCAATCTATCTTGTTGAGGGTCTTCCTCTTAGTCTTTACTCTTCCCAGAATAATGCCCTGTTCCAAGAACTGGCCCCATCTGACAACATGTCCAAAGTATGCCAGACAAAGCTTCACCATTCTTGCCTCTAAAGACCACCCTGGTTGAACTTCTCCCAAGACAAACTTGTTTGTTCACTTGGCAATCCATGGATATTCTGTATTTGTTAACACTGCGATCCAAAGGTATTGATTTGGGAGGGATGGGTAAAGTAAATGGGAAAGATCCGATATGAAAAACAATGCACAGGAACTTTGCACGTAAACCAGTATAAAATTTTTATTTAACAAAATAACCCCACAACTTTGGGAAGCAAATGAAAACTCCATGGCTTGAATCAGGTGCATCTTAGTCAGCACTTCGGCTAGGTCCTGGCCAGTAGTTTCCCACTGCAACACATCCTTGACCCTTTGACTGCTGCTACCATGGGCGTTGAGCTGCAGATCCAGGTAAAATGAAAATTGTCAACAACCTCAATCTTTTTTTTCCATCTCTCCCATTACTGCCTATTGGTTCTGTAGTGAGGATTTTGTTTTCTTGATGTTGAGATGGAATATACAATACTGTAATAGCAACACCGAAGGCTGCGGTCTGTATCTTCTGCAGCAGTGCTTTAAGTCCTCTTCATTTATGCCAAGCAAGGTTTTGTCACTTGGTTAATGTAGCTTGTGGACACGTTCTCCTCCAATCCTGATGCCATTCTTCTT